TTTTAATATTTTTGTGATTTAAACAATTTAAGAATTGATCTTATTTCATCTAGGTTCTCTTTAAAAATTTTTTTTATAAAATCATTAACCCCCTAATTGAATTGTATGCGCGCAACAACGCACACAAATGAGCCCAAATGATTTTCTTAGATTATTTATTAAATTTTCCATATCATCAATTTACTTGTTCTTCATCATCGTGATGAGAATTTAAGTCATCATCGTGATGAGAATTTAAGTTATCATCAATATCTTAAATTTGATCATATATAATGTACTCCTCAAAAGAATCACTATCATGTATATTCGAAATAACGCTGTCATTTTGCTGCGTGATCTTTATGAATCGTTAATTGTTTGCGAAGACTTTATCATTCTTTTGGGACAAATATTCTGAGAAGGCATCTTCAGAAAGATCAATGTGAGTAATTAGCCGTTCTTCAGCTATCATTTCAACTGTTTTAATCATATTGGTACCATTGTCAACGGTGATAGTGTATACTTATTCTTCTTGCTATAAAATTTTCTACTGGATAACATTTATTTAAATCTCTTACACTTATCAAACTAATCTCGGCTCCTGCATCTAATAAAAAAAATTTTCTTCCATTCTTATCTTAATCATCGGGCATTTACTTCTCTCTATTACCTTTTTTAATTCAATTCTGAGCACATTTTCTGTTTCAATTTCTCTTCCATTAATTTTTTCATAATTAACATTATCTTTATTTTCATATTTTAAATCAATTATATCTGTTACATTTATATTTAAATTATAATTAAAAAAATCAGACAAACTATTAATTTTATTATTTATAACATTATTCTTATCGCATTTAGTCATTTATTACATTTTTCCTGTGAATGCCCTGCTTGTTCGATTTAGAACATCTCAAACTAATGTCAAAAAACCCTCTACAATTCGTATCTACATGTCCATTACGCCCACATTTAGTGAACTTAACCTGCCACTCGAATTGTCGCGACATGTGTCCTTTTGACCATTACTAATGGTCTAATTATCTTATCTTATCTTCGTCTCTTATCATATTCTTAATCTTTTCTAGTTTTCTATTTTCAATCCTTAGATACATTGTATTTCGTCCTATTGTTATTCCTAATACAAACTTAAAAATATCAACGAAAGTAAAAATATCCCTAAGTTATCAAGTAACAAACTCCACATATTTTTCTGCTGGATATACATTAATATGTAATCAATAAAAATCTAATTACAAATAATTTAAATACCCTCACAACATTAATTGAATAAATTTATAAACTTAATACTACTATAAAAAAATATATATCATATATAAATTGCCTTATTTTTACCTTAATAAATGGATAAACTTAATACTACTATAAAAAAAATATATATCATATATAAATTGCCTTATTTTTACCTTACTTTTTTATCCTAATAATAGAATTGAAGCTTTTATTAGATTGAGAATTTCCAAGCATAGGCGTAGCCAGGATTTTCATAAAGGGGGGGGGATTAAAATTTTTTGGGGGCTTCGCCCTCAGACTCCATTTTGGTGGGGTTACCTTAGTCTATATATAGTCATAAAAACTTTTTACAAGATAGGATGTTTATTTTAATAAAAATAAAATAAGCCTGGACAAATATGAAATATATTCTTATTAGTTTATATAATAAATTACTATTAATATAAAATGGTAATAATTTATTCCAAACAAGTATAAGAAATTTATTTATAAAAAGTAAGTAGACATATTAATATTCCTCTATTATATAGAATTAGTTACAAAATACTAGGTAAAATTCCACTTTTACAGAAATATTTGACAGTTAGAGAAAATATTACAGTTAAGAATTTAACAAATTTTACTAATCAATGCCCTTGATAATAAATATAGCAACAATTTGCATTTAATTATTTAACGCCATCTATTTATTTTAAATAAAAATTATATTAAAAATTAATCTTCATATTATTCATCCCACAATGTCTTTAAAAGATATTTTCTGATGTCCTTATCAATATTTTATAGTTCTGTAAAATATATAATTCGCTATATTGGTAAAATTTATTTGATTGTCATATGATAATTGATAAAAATAGATATACTGTAAATATACGACATATAATATTATTCCACTGTTTGTGTTGCGCTTTAATTTTTTAATTTTTTTATTTAATTTATGATTTAATTTTATCAATAGATTTATAATTATATTTTACTATTATTAAGATAAATAAATTAAAATTACACACTTTATAAAAAATTATATTTGATATATTATATTATTTATAATTATAATACATTTCACTTTTGTCTTCTATATTTGGCTTATATTCCATTTCTTAAAAAACATTTTTGGTTCACTTCTTTTATATATAAATGTCTTTTTCCAAAGTATAATTTATGAAGAATAGTTTTGGTTTAAAAAATATCAACTTTTACATTCTTTCTTTCAAATGATTATTTAAGATATATGCATACATTTTTGGGGGTCAGGGAGTGGGGGGAGGACTAAGGAAGATATTTTTTATTAGCTTAAGATGATATTCACAAAAAGTAATAAATTTCTGAAGGGGGAGATTTCCCCTTGTCACTCCCCCTGGCTACGCTTATGTTTCCAAAGTATGGTTCAATTAATCAGGCACCGGTGTATTAAATGCAATCAAGCAGAGGCGTAGCTAGGAATTTTCCTTAGAGGGGGTCCATACATATAAAAGCTGGGTAGCTTCGCCCCCTAGACCCCCTTTAACGGGCCTTCGGCCCTTTTGCTGGGCCTTCGGCCGGGTTTATCTTACAAATCATAACTATATCTTCGATAATATATAATATATAATAAATATATTTTTTAAATGCATCAATAATATGTTATTACAATTTAGTAGATTATTCTCAATAACTTTATAATAATACTATCCAGAATAATTTCAATAGTAATATAATATCCTTCCACAAACATCAAAACCAGAAAAATATAATTGTTATAAAATCACTTTTAAGTCTTTTGAACGTATAATCTAAAAAAAATTTTTGCTCTGGGAGGGGTCCAAACCCGAAAACCACCCCCATAGCTACGCCACTGCAATCAAGGTATCCAATTAATATTAATTATAAACCAGTAATTTATTTATAAATTTAATCAAATTACGAAACTTCTATTTACAAAAATAATAACTAACTATTTTAAAATTTTCCTTTGCTTTTATAGAGCAGAAATCACTTTACATTTGAATATTACACTAATCGTTTTTTTTCAATTTAAAACACTCAAATAATTATTCAAATTTTCCTTAGTCACTACTTCCAATAATCACGATCTCTTGTAATTCTAACTATAGCTACTAAAATTTGCTTTTCCGTTTCTTCTACGACCATTTGCCTGGATATTGATACAATTGTTTCTTTATCTCGATTGATCTTATTCTTTATCTTAAGGTCTATGGTCATTTCATAAATCTCATCTCCCCTTTTCTTTTAGAATTTCCTATTTTGAGTTAATTAGACAGGGTCTATAGTACATAAATAAGACACCAATCGTTTAAAACAAGTCATGCTTATTATGAACAAGAATTAAAGATGACAAATTAATTTATTAAAATAATATTTTAAATCAAAATCATTCAAAAATAACATAAATAAAACTAAAACCTAAAAATATAAATCAAATATTATGCAAAAATTATAAAACTTACTCCTTTCATTTTCTTGAATTATTACATTATACTTCTAAAATTTACATACTATCGATAATTTCATATAATTATCATTTAATTTGACTACAATTTTAACCATCTAATCACCTTTACAATTTGATTCAATTATCTTAACAAATTTTATATGCAAATAACTGTTTATTTTTAAAATTATATAAATTTTCTGTTTCAATACATGTATGTGGCAAAATGTAAAGTGATTATTATTTTTTGTTAAAGAAAGAAATTTATATTTTAGTATGCAAATGTAAAGTGATATAAAAGAAACGAAAGATTTTATACTAATGAATATTTTTATTTTTTTGTTGTAATGTTTTTTTCTGTGATCTATAATTTAAATTAAATAAATTCGGGCTAATTTTTAGGATAATTAATTATTTAATAGTAATACATTAGTGCGATTATTTGGTAACTAGTTTGATTTAAAATAGTATGAGCAAAAATAGCAATAAATTAGCAAAAGCCGTTTCGCCTACAAGCGCCAAATGTTGTTAAAAAGCAAGGTTCGGGTCTGTTAAAAAAAACGTCCCGATTAAGATTTTAGCCTAAATAATATTATGTAAGCTTCGAGATTTGGCAATTAGAGGTCTCAAGTTTTCTGTCATCTATGAGCAAAATCTTCAGGTTTACCATTACATAATATTATTTTGGCCATTATCGTAATCGAGCAATTTTTAAAAATCGACCCAATTAGGACTTTTCACATTACAAAAGACCAAATTTACTAGCATATTCAAATTATATAAAAAACGAGCAAATGTAAAAGTAAAGGAGCAAAAATACTAACTAAAAATTTAATAACAAATACTCAAATAAATGAGCAAATATATTGTAATAAATTCCATATTTTGGCTAGGCAAAACGTCTTTCTATAAAAAAATGTCTTCAGCAAAATGTCATAGGCAAAGCGCACCCTATTATTGAATAATTTTTTATTTGTATTCGAAAAAAAAGAATCGAATTTTTTAAAGAATTTTTTGAATAAATCACTCTAAAAATAAGCTTCTCTAGACTAAACAAAAAATCTACAGAAGCGATTTTCATATTTATATTTAAGAATAAATAATTTTTTTGGGAATTACCCAATGATGTTTTCAATTTTGTTGTTATATTAAAAAAATATAACATCTTTTCAATTGTAACTAGTTACCGATATTTTTTGAATAGTATAAATGGTTACCGATAATATATTACTTTAATAAAACATATATATCACCGCCCTAAATAAGATATACATATTTATAATTTTTTTTGTTTAGTCATGTGATTAGTTTATAATAGCCATTTTTTAAAAGTTATCTTGCAAATTAAGCATCCTTAATTTTTATACTTTTTTGAGATCTGAATTTTACTATGCAAAAATTGTACCTTTATGGTATAAATTTCCCCCCACAAATTCTTAAACTCTAGACGAGGTTAAATAATTATTGTAAATAGGTTTTTTAAAACTATTTTATCAAATTGAGCATTATTTATGCATTACATCTCTAAGCTTCTACTCTATCTTAAATTAAAGCTTAATCTAATTGTATATATTTTTTTTATTTTGTTATCAAAAAATTTCAGATTTTTATATTTTCCATAAAAAAAATACCAATTTTTAGTTTTTCCATAGTAGAATATAGATAGTATTTGAATTAATGTTAATAAATTATTGAATGATTTATCATGTACTTGACTGACCTAATCTAAAAAGAATTTAATGAAATTTATCAGTTATGTAGGAATTTATAGAGAGGGGTAGGGGGTATAACGATTAAATTTAATATTTTTATAAACAATTTCACTTATTAATTTAAAATTGGGAGTGGGACATTGTAGCAATATATAAAATAAGGGACTCTTGATAACAACTTGTATGTAAAATTAAAATATATTTGGAAAATTAAGAACAATCAATATTATCTACTCTATTGTTAAAAATTAACATGTTTGTATATTAAATAATGCATTTTTTTATAATTTAAAATTCTTATATTTTAATTCAATAAATTCAATATATTGTTGGCTAAAACTCACCCATTGCAAGACATATATTTGGCGCAAGGCCAGGCTGGTCAAAAAGGTTTTTAAGCCAGGCTAGACAAATTGTGCAAAATATTTTGGCACAGATAAAGCTTCTTAAATGTTTTTAAAGTTAAGCATTTAGGAAAATATATGCCATTTTCCTTGATAAAAAAAATATAACAGGTTATGGTTGACAACTTGCTTAAAATTGTTGTTTTGCTAGCTCACACTGATCTCTAGTAGCAGGGTTGAATATTTTTTTAATTTAAAAGTTTTTCCATCTTTTGTCATGCATTTGACTTGGTTTTTGTTCTTTGTTGTTACCTACTTTTGATATTACTGCATTAAGTCAATATAATTAACTTGGTAAATGAGGTTTTAGAGGAATCTAATTATTAGTAAAACCAATATTATATCTGGTTTGTTTATAATATTATGGTCAAATTCTGAATAAAATTATATATGCATTGACTTTTTCATAATTTTACTGACTGTTAATTTGAAGAATTTTTCTGCCCTGCTATATCTTTATTATTTGATGTTTTATTTTTTATAATGCAGTTTCAGTTTATAAAAAGATAATTTTCATTCTATTTTATAAAAAATTTATTTTACAGTACTATATATTAGAGATCTGAAAGAAGGCTTTTTTTAAAAATTTTTTGTTGGGCCTAATATTTTTTAATAGGGCCGGATTGGATCGGGCCTTAGATTTTTTTTAAAATATATCTTTTTCAAAAAATATTTCAAAGTTGGGCCAGGCCGGCAAAACTTTTTTAAAAAAATTCTGGTTCAAGCTGGGCTAGGTAAAACTTTTTTAAAAAAATTTTAAGCTAACCCGAGCTTGAAAAATTAAGCCCAATGCAAATTCTACCTGCTCAGATTTTTTGAATTTTTTTTCTAGAGTTAGCATATATTATAACTAAGAAAAAAATAATATTTTAGCCCCCAACTCCAAAAGTGGCTGAGATATGGGCCTCTAAGTAAAAAAAATGTGGATACAATGAGCTAGAAGGATAATTTATATATTTTTGTATAGACTAATGGTAGAACTAAAAAAAAATTAATTGTCAAAAACCATAGAAACCAGAAATAATCATAAAATCAAATTGGCATTTTTTTTCAAAGTTTTTTATATATAAAGCTATAATTAATTAATAAGTATGTAAAATTTCAAGTTGAGCAGGTTTAGGCAGAGATTTGAACCCAAACCCGGGTTCAGAAATTTATAATTGTTTGGGTTGCGCATTTACCAAACAGAGACCGATTTATGGACAACTTATCGACCAGGGGTAAAACGGACCTGAGACAAGTTACCTCTCTTGGTTTAGATTAAGTTCCAGTTATAAAAAATTGCCGCTAAATAAAGGTTATAATTTCTGAACCCGGGTTCGGGTTCACATCTCTGGGTTTAGGAGATATGGCATTTTAATCATTAGTTATGTAAAAATCTTAATAAATATTTCATATTCATTAATTGTAAAATATTTAGGCCAAAAGCTTTTAAATATATTAATTTATATAAATAAAAGTGGGTAGGAGGAAGGGGGGGTGTTAATTTTGCAATATATTTACTTCCTTCCTAAAATTCACTATTTTTTCCTTTTTTAAGCAGTAGATTGTAATCCATTCAATTTGGATTTACATATATGTTGTGAAGCCTAAAAAATTCACTTCCTTGGATGAATAGCCAAAATAAATCATTAACAATAAAGTGTGTAGTATTTGCTGGAAACTATTACATGCTTTAACCAGTATCACATTTCACTCAACATCTATATTTCACGAAGTATATATTAATAATGCTGTCATTGAACATCTGAATAATTCATTACCATTCATGGGGGAGACATCAATTAAAAAGAATCTTAAATGAAAAAAGTTATCCTCTTAAGAAAAAGTTTATAGAAATTTTTTTTAATATCAAAGATGAATGTGAAATCATTAAGGAATTGAAAAATAAATTCAAAACACCACATTCTCGAAATGAAAAAATTCAGATATTGATTTACCAATATAATACAGAGACCGCAATGCAATTTAGTAGTGCTGTAAACATTTCTAAAAAAATCGAACGCGTTCAAATAATCATTGACAAAAATCGAACGCGTTCAAGTTCATGTTCAAAAAAAAAGGAACGCGTTCACGTTCATAAAACCGTTCAAAATTTTATGATAAATTTTTTTAAAATGAAATTTAATATAAATAAACTTATATTTTTTAATACAATATATTTTAGCCATGTTAAAAAATAATATAGTTTTATTTTGATAATATAATTATAAATAAAATATAATATAGCGAATAAAAAGTTATTTTTATTTATAAAAAATCAGGAACACTTGGCAGTTAATACGGCATTAGCCTAAAAACGCGCTCTACAAGGGCAGATAAGGGGATTGCGGTATTATACTTAATAAACAGCTCTTTTAACGTGGAGAATTAATTAAAAAAATATTGTTTTGTTATTTTCAAAAAATTGAGATAATTTATCCTCCTCCAATCCATTCTCTACTCTCGACAAACAAAAGGATATCTCGAAATTAACAGTTCTCTAGGGTTTTTAAAGCATTTTTTTCAATAACGCTATAAGTTTATTTTTAATAGGTTCGTTCTGTAAAAGTTTTATCCATGGACATTGAATTGAATGCTGGATGTATAATTGCAGAAAGAACATATTGATCCTTATTAGGGCTGTGCCGATATTAAATATCGGATCGGTCCCGATATTTGGCGTTTTTCAAAAATATCGGATCGGCCCGATACCTGTAAAAAACCCGATCCGATCCGATCCTTTTACTAAAAATGCAATTCTTATAAAACTTTTGAGTAGTGAAACTTTGAATTATTATTTTTTAATAAAAAAAATTTTTTTTAAATATTTAAAAAAAAAATAAATTTTTTCGAGTTTCTATTTTACATTAATAATATTTTATAAATAATTTTTTTTTAAACAATGCAAATGTTATTTATTTTTTTAAATAGATTTTACAAGTTTTTTTATAAAAATAGAAAGGAACACCCAAAGTTTTATTTATTTTTAATTTTTTAAAAAAATAACACCAATTTTATTATTTATACTTTAAATAAAAATTATTTTAAATATGGTTTCTGAATTATGGAAATATTTTGATAAAGATGAAGGTAATTTTGCAAAATGCGTCATCTGCGGAATATATTATAATTTTATATATTAAATATTACAATTTTATAAACCAACATAAAATGGATATATTATTATATATTTTTTTTAAAATTATTGTTGAAATAAAAAAATTAAATTATGCATAATTCTTTTATGCATAAAAAATATTGATTTATTAATTACATTTGGTTCAAAGAGGGGTGGTAAAAAATTAATATAAATATCGGATCGGTATCGGATCGGGTTTGAATTAATATCGGATCGGATCGGTAAAAAATATGTGGATCGGCACAGCCCTAATCCTTATATAGGGTCATTCCATGTCAAATCAATCACTTTTCGGCCGACCCCTTTCGATTTCGATGAAAAATCGTAAGCTGGTTATATATTTTCCCATTAGATTATAAACAAAATTTTAGCGGATTGGCAACTATATTAGCGGAGATATTCGGGGTTAAAGGTCTAAAAAACGTCTTTTTTTGCTTTTTACTGATGTTAAATAACTAGTTTTTAATTCTAAACTAAATATGATCAAATATTGAATATAATATCAATAGCTAAGTTAATAATTGATGATTATGGCGAAAACATCAAAATTAATTTTTGATAAAATATGGGTCATCTTAGGGTCAGTTGAAAACTTGAAATTAATATTTCGAAATGTATATAATCTCCGATTTTTAATTTTTTTAAGAAATATTATCCGTCTACTATTTTTTTAATAATTTCTTCAACAATTAGCATGGCTGGATATTTATTTAAAAAAATATTGCGATTTTTATACTATTAAAAAAATAGATGGCGCTATATATAATAGTTTTAATATGTTACAATTCATTTTTTTTATTGATTAAAAATATTTTAATGTATATATATCATACTAAATCGATTACAATGTCCATTATATATATTATTTGTAATTCAGATCATAAATTTTTAAAATCTTCACAAATTTAGCCTAATTAAGATAGTTATATATTAATTAAATCTTACTTCATCTAAAGGAATACAAAGCCCGGCTAGCTTGTGAGATTTCTTCAGGAGATAATATATATGTTTGACTGGTGGGAGTAGAAGGATTGACCAGCGAGAGAATATGAGATTTAGGCAACACAAAAATATCATCTTTCAGAGGAAATTTAAATGAGGCTGAAGGTCCACAAGGCTGTAAAAATCGGATTTTTACTTCTTCATTTATATCATTTTTATCGATTATATATCCTAACCACCATTTATCACCATATACACCTGTTATATATCCAT